CTATTCTTTCCAGTTTGATGGTGTATATCTCAAAGAGCAAGGGCAGATAGATGACCAAGGAATCACAATTGCCACAGACAAGACAGAATGTGACAGGTGATCAAAATCTCTTTATTAATTCCGGAGAGCACATTGAGGAGCAACAACTGTAAATGATAAAAATTGGAGAATTTGTTTTTGTTTTAATTGCCTTTCTGTGTATGCAAAGATAATTTTCTCACTCTCGCAGCCTGCAGTGCGGCACTGGAGCTTTCTCGTCGTGTTTCCTTACCCCCCACTTGTGGTGATCCAGTCAGTTGTTCAAGTCTGCTGTCCAAATTGTTTTCTCTGTTTGGAAGGTCTCCAGTCATTCCTGTCTTTATTCTTCAGCAAAATATAGTCTAAATTATATATGCTATTTTATTGTCTTCTTTGTGTGATATGTCATATAGTCATTATATGGAAGATTATAGGCAAAATGCACTTGAGCCCTTAAAAGTGCGTGTGTGTGTGTATGTGTGTGTGTGTGTGTGTAGGAAGATCAGTGATTGCTAGTGGTCTCATTTCATAGCTAAGTAGCACAGATGAGGAAGCTGTTTGGATCCTTTTGGCCCATGACATTTGTGTTTGCAGGTGTGCACAACTACTGTATTTCACCATAGCGCCGCTGGGTTGTCCAATGGTTACCCATTTAGTTCATTCATGACTGCCATATTTTCTGTGTCAGGTGCCCTGTCTCCGTGTGTCTTGTACTGTGACTCCCCTGCAGGAGAGGTGTGGGGAAGGGTGCCAGAGCAGAGGCTACTCTAGTGAGAGGAGTGATTTTCACAGACCGCTGCTCTTGACCTCTTCAGAGAAGATGGGATCTATTTTGCCTTCAGTTGTCTAAGTAGAAGAATGTCATCGATTCTAGGAGAAGTCCACCATTTAGTTGAAGGTGGTTAGAGGAAGGGGAAACTGAAGTACTTGGTCCTCCTGTTGACTCATGGATGTAGAATGAGCTCATAGTCTAGGATGTGAGTTCTCAGTTATCGTTGGATATCAAACAGTAAGTTTCACACACCGTGAAAGCAGCCATGTGGTCAGCCAAAGCTGTTGTTGCTTGAACGATGGAACAATGTTTATGAGCATGCGATGTTTAAGATGTTTCTAGATTAAATCTGAGATCTCAATAAAGATATGTTTCTTCCCTAAAAATCTCTATGCATTCTGATGAAGTCTAAAGCTAAAGCCCAGTGTGGAGTCCAGGAGATTAATGGCTCAGCAGGCAAAGGCACTTGCCACCAAGCCTGATGACCTGAATTCCATCCCCAGAACCCACATGGTGGTAGGAGAGAACTTAGTTTTGAAAGTTGTCCTCTGACCTCCACACATACGCTGTGGTATGTGTGCACCCCTATACACATTCACGCAATTTTTTTTTTTAATGTTTTAAGCCAAGTTTGGCCAAGATAGCAGGACTGGAAGTTTGAAGTGTCAATCTGTGCCACATAGTGAGACCCTTTAAAAGAATACTTATTGGTGTTACAGATCAAGTCTGTTCTATCGCTGAACTTATACCTCTCGTTCCCAATAAGTTAATTTTAAACAGCTGAGCTAAAAATAATATTTCCCCCGGATAAATACTAGGCTCCAGTATAAGCTTTCTGCTTGATTAATAAATGAGGAGCTTGGTTAAATATGAAAGTATCTGTCCCGGTGTCCAGTCTCTGCCCACATGAGTATTAGAAACAGCAGTTTGCCCCGTGCTGTGCTTTGTGTGAAGCAGCACATCCCGGTACCCAGAGAGGAGAGATGGCCTAACTCCATAAGCCACACAGCCGGTACCCAGAGAGGAGAGATGGCCTAACTCCATAAGCCACACAGCCGTCATCCGAGGCTCAGGCCAAGCCTGCTTGGTATTGCTTCCTCCGTGAGGAAGGACCCTGAGACCTGGCGTCCACAGAGTGGGCTCACCTGTCCTGCACACTTCCTCAAAATAAAATGCTTTTATTTTGAAGTTTTGGTAGAGCATGTATAGAGGAAGTTTTAGAAGTTGATATTTTTGCTTTATTTAAGTGACAGTGACACAAATTTTATGTAGTAGTGTCCTTTATTAATAAAAAGCTAAGTTTCCAATTAGGCATACTTTTAATTTCACCAATTTATTTTAAAATGACTAGTGTATATTCATTGTACAAAATATGAATGTATTTTGTGTACATCTGGTGTTCTGTGCACTTCTAGCATATTCAGACTTGTGTTACCTAGCCTCTTTAAAAAAAAACCTCAAATATTTCCCTCAATATTTCTTTTTTTGTTTATTTATTTTATTTTATTTTTTATTGAAAAATTGAAAAATTTCACCTCCTTCCCTCCTCCCACTTCCCTCCCCTCTCCTCTACTCCCCCTCCCTCCCTTATTATTTCTTATAAACATTACAAAATAGATGGGGGAATTCTATCAAAGAATGATAGAAGTATATCAGGCTAGTATTCTTAGTTTCATCAGAAGAATAACGGATGGATTCAGTCTTACAGGTAAAGTGTGCCTCTATGAAAGCTATGACAGCTGTCCACGTGCCTAGCAGACTGAGGCCCTGGCTTCGCTCCTCCGCGAGGGTGGGTGCTTTCTAATGCACCCCACTCTAGCACATCTGTCTTACATTGTGCTTCCTCCAGAACGAGCTTCTTTCTCTGCTAGTTCCTGGTGCCTTCAGCAGCGCCTGTCGTGTGCTTGCCACCACCAGTGAACTCTTTAAGAAATACAATCCAAGCCACTTTGTGCTTTAAACTAGAAAAGTTTTTTTTTTTTTTGCCTGTTGAATTAAAAGAAAAAGTAAAAAAGGAATGAAATTAGTATTTGGCTATATGGCTGAAGTATTGTTTCAACAGACACTCAATATTAGGCTACTTTGCATGCCTTCCTCTCCCTGATGTCTTCTGGTTCTCTGCATGTTTGTGCTCACAGCATATCTCAGCTTAGACTTGGCATATTTTAGTGCTCAGTTGCTCAATGCAGTGGAGGGGAGGGAACATATTAGCATACACAGTCCACCTTTGAACACAGCTTCCCTGCTGAACTGAATGGGATTAAGGTTGAGATCAAAGCTGGCCTAATGCAGTTTGCAGCCACGTTCTGTCTGGCTTGGGTAGCGTTGGATCACACAGTCTTCTAAATTTAAGTTAGGTGCCAACATTTCTACACAAGCCCCAGGTTTTATATAAAAGGCCTGGGAGGAAGCATCAAGAACATGGGGAGTAACAGTCCTCTGGAATGTGTGCCTTTTCTCTACACGCATCTGCTTCGCTTTTTACAGCCTCAGCAGACTAGAATTCTCTACTTCAGAGCCAAGGATCAGTAGTTAATAAACATACAAAAATAGATTAGTGACAGATTATAGGGAGCTTTAAATACCAGACAGAGTATAAAATGCAGTAACAAGCAACTTTTGAAGACAGGATTGGTGAGATTAAAGTCCTATTTAGGAAGATTATTCTGAAGCAGTGTGAAAAGAGAAGTTAGAAAAAAAAATCACCGTTTTTAATTAAAAATTTTTAGTTATTTATTGTTATATGTATGAGTGTTTTGCTTCCATGTATGCCTGTGCACTATATGCATGCCTACAGAGGCCAGAAGAGACTGTCAATCACCTGGGACTGGAGTTAGACACAGCTCTAAACTGCCATGTTGGTGCTGGAAATCAAACAAAAGTCCTCTGGAAAAGCAGGCAGTGCACTTAACTGCTGAGCCATCTCTCCAGCCCCAATTACCGATTTTTAATGAAAAGAGATGAGGTGGTATAAAAATAGACAACAGAGTTTTAAAAATGAAAAGCAGAAAAAGCAAGTTAAGTGGAAGTATCTTAGGGAGGGATCTGCCATCTAAAAAAGACCCCCACTGCCATATTAGTTACGTGGACTGCTGAGCTTGGTGGGAAATTTGCTTGCAGTCTCCTAGAACTCCACTGCATGCTAGGGTGGTTATGGGAAAGTCAAACTCTGCTTGCTGCCTGTCTGTGGTCCAGAGTCACTGGAGACACTGTTTCCACTAGGCTTTACATGGAGGCAAAGACCCTTTATTCCCCCACCCCCATCTTCTCTTCAGCATAGCCAGTATTCAAAAGATCCTTTGTAAAAAAGAATGGCCGACATTAATATTTGATAATTAACTGTATACCAGTCATTCCTCTAAGGCGGTGCTTGAACCTAAGACCTCACACAAGCTTGACCGGGGCTTAAGTACACCCTAACTCTTAAATTCTCTATGTAGACATTTTTCTTAATCCTTATAACCACCCTTGAGAGAGATGCTGCCACTGTTTCCATTTTATAGACAACTGAGATCCTAAAAAAATAATTCAGCCACAGGGATTGATAGGTTAGAATCAGTACTTGGATCTGGAGGTCTAAGAGATTTGACCACTATAAACCGTTTGCTTATCTATATCTGTTGGCATGCTACACAGGAACCTTACACTTTTCATCCAGGAAGCTCTGGCAGAACTTATTTCAAGGGCATCAGTTTTGTTCTGGTCCCCTGGAAGGAATAGGACCCCAAAGATATCCTTTAGTTCCCTTCTAGGGGACAGGTAGTGTTCCAGGCCTCTGCTCTTCTTTGATGATTGGCTTATTGTTAGTGTGTGCTGATCTGTTTACTGAAGAAAATAAGTATAGGAATAACTCATTTTTAAACAAAGCTTTCAGTTTTCTGAGTCCAGGTACACTGCATGATCCAGGTTGCCCTGAGCTGAACTCTGTAGCCCAGGCTGGCCTTACATTCCCAATCCTGCCCTAGTGTTTGAGGACTGGGTTTACAGACGTGTGCCACCACCCTCAAAACTCATTCCTTCCATGCAAGCTAAATCACGGTAGATTTTCTTTATATGGTCTTGAAAATTATCGCAGGAGATGCCTTAAAATCTTTTAATTTTGATCTTGAAGGGAGGTTGGAGTAACTGTAGAGATGTTTAATGGTGCATATCTCAGAAAGTGTGAGGTTTCCCTACCTTATTCATCATGGTTTCTTTCCTTGACTTGCAGATGAACCATGTAAAGGAAAGATTCCAGGACGAGAAGAACAAGGAAGTGCTTTTCATGTGCATTGGCATCACTTCTGGAGTTGGACGCCTTCTCTTTGGCCGCATTGCAGACTATGTGCCCGGACTGAAGAAGGTTTACCTGCAGGTACTCTACACTCTCCTTCCCTATAGATGGAGTCTTACCTGCAGGTCCTCTATACTCTCCTTCCCTATAGATGGAGCCTTACCTGCAGGTCCTCTATACTCTCCTTCCCTATAGATGGAGTCTTACCTGCAGGTCCTCTATACTCTCCTTCCCTATAGATGGAGGTTTACCGGCAGGTCCTCTATACTCTCCTTCCCTATAGATGGAGTCTTACCTGCAGGTCCTCTATACTCTCCTTCCCTATAGATGGAGG